CATTTACTAGCTGAGTTTCTTTTTCTGACTACTACACAGAACACTTGGAACATTAATCTTACTCATTTAATTCTTAGTTCTCTTATTATGAACTTTTTGATGAACATTACTTCCTTTTTGCATATATGGAGATTAGCCTGAAAGTGGAAAAGAGTTGCATTTCTGCATTCCTATATGTCAAGGTCCAGTTCATAGGGTTACTGTGAGCTGTAGTTAATTCAGTGGCACCTAACAACAACAGCAGAAACATGAAATTTTTACAAAATATTTTAATTTAGTGGGCAAGATCTCCAAATGACATCACTTTTTAAAACATACACGTTTTATTTATCTTGATGATATTTCTCTTAATCCTGTTGTTGTTGCTGTTGTTATTAGGTATTGTCGAGCCATAGATGACTCATAGCATCCCTATAAACGAAAGACCTGAGCGCTGTTCATAGAGTTTCCGGTGGCAAGCCATTTCAGAAGTGAATTCCACTCCTGCTTCCAAGCTTGTTTTAAACAGGAAGCTCCACCAAACACTGTCCACTGTGGGTAACCATTATCTTATCTGGCACATCTGTGTCACAGTGTGAACATCAGAACAACCATGAATTACCTCTGTACAGTAATGCACAGACCAGTGCTCTATACCACCTAGAAGAATGTTTGGCAAAAAACCAATTTGAACTAGGCCTGAGGGCTCCCGATTAAAATCACCCACCTTGGGCTTGGTAGCATAACTTTCTGTCCACTAGGCCAATGTAGCTCTCCCTATGTTGTCGTTGTAATGTTGTTAGGTGTTGTTGAGTTGTAGACGATTCATAGCGACCCTATGAACAAAAGACCTGAGCACTGTTCATAGAGTTTCCAGAAGCAAGCCATTTCGGAAGTATATGCCACTCCTGCTTCCAAGCTTATTTTAATGAGGAAGCTCCACCAAACACTGCCCACCATTTGTAACCATTATCACATTTGACACATAAGTGTTACTTAACTCTGTAATTCACCAAAAACACATCTTTTTTCTGACCCAAAAGGTCAGAGCACTAGTGGACATCATAATTCCAGAGGTTACTACCACTATCTTATTTTTCTTCTAATTTTGCTAAATTCTTTTCAAATCAAGTGATCCGTTTTGTTATTATGTGCTGTTGAGTTGACTATAGGTTATAGTCATCCTGTTAATAATAGCTCTAAACATAGCCATATCCTGAGCCAACTTCACCATCTCTGACACACCTGCCCCGTAGTCATTTTGTCAATCCATCTCATCCAGGATCTTCCTCTCCTGTATTGGACCTCTGTCCTTCCAAGCATGATGTCATTTTCCAGGGACTGGTCTCTCTTGGCAACATTCCCAAAGTTTATGAGATAGAGCTTCAAAATCCTTGCCTCCATGGAGCAGCCTCATTTTACCCAAATTGATGGTATACCAATTGACATATTTCAGCTAAGAGATATTGCCCTAGATGTGCTCACCAAGTTGTGTCAAGAAATATGGAGGAAAGCTATTTGGCCAATTGACTGGAAGAGATCTATATTAGTTCCAATTCCCAAGAAAGGTGACCCAATAGAGTGTTGAAATTATCGAACAATTTCTTTGATATCACATGCTAGCAAGATTCTGCTGAATATTATCCAAAAATGACTGGATCAGCACACCAACATAGAACTGCCAGAAGTCCAGGCTGGGTTTAGAAGGGGTCATGTTACAAGGGATATTGTAGCTAATGTTAGATGGATCTTGGCTGAAAGCAAGGAGTACCAGAGGAACGTCTACCTGCGTTTCATTGATTTTGCAAAGGTGTTTGTGTAGACCACAACAAACTGTGGCTAACTGAGAAGAATGGGAATTCCAGAACACTTGAGCGTGCTAATGCGAAACTTATACTTGGATCGGGAGTCGTCGTCAGAACAGAGCAAGGAAACACTGCATGGTACAAAATTGGAAAGGGATGTATCCTGTCTCCATACCTTTTCAACCCATATGCAGAACAGATTATCCAGGAGCTGGGCTATATGAGGAGAAGTGTGGCATCAGGATTGCTGGAAGATTCATCAACAATCTGCATTATACAGATGACATAACCCTGCTTGCTGAAACTGAGGAAGATCTGAAATGCTTGCTGCAGAAGGTCAAGGACTGCAGTCTTCAATATGGATTGAGGCTCAATGTCAAGAAGACAAAGAATCTCCCCACTAGGCCAATTGGCAGCATCAGGATGGATGGTGAGGAGATTGAGATTGTTCACAGCTTTAGTTTGCTTTGACTTCAAAATCAACACTCTTGCCACCAGCAGCCAGGAAATGAAAAGACATATTGCAATGGGAAAGTCTGCTGTTAGAGACCTCTCCAAAGTACTGAAGAGCAGTGGTGTCACTCTGGAGACTAAGGTGCACCTGATACAGGCCGTGGTCCTTGTAATCACTTGCTATGCATCAGAGAGCTGGACAATGACTAGGGAGGATAGAAGGAGAATTGATGCCTTTGAGCTGTGGTGTTGGAGAAGAGTATTGAATATATCATGGACTGCTAAGTAAACGAACAGTTTTATCCTAAAGAGGGTTAAACCAGGCTGCTCTTTGAAAGCAAGAATTCTGAAGCTCCATCTACAAGGAGGGACCAGTCCTTGGAGAAGGACATTAGCCCTGGGAGGGTGGAGGGAGCACAGGAGAGGAAGACCCTCTATGAGGTGGATTGATTCAGTGATGGGAGTAATTAGGGTAGGTGTGTCAGAGACAGTGAGACTGGCACAGGATAGAGCAGGGTTTAGGGCTGTTGTACATAGGGTTGCTGTGAGTCATAGGCGACTCAACGGCACATAACAAGACAAACTGTTTCTAATTTTGGCATGGTATTTTCAATACTCTTCTTCAACACCAAAACTCAAAGTATCAATTCTTTTTATGCCGTCTTTATTCATTATCCAGCTCTCAGATGCAGAGCAACCAATTGAGAAGACCATGGCTGACATGGCCCGGATCAGGCCCACCTTAATCTCTAGACTGATGTTGTTGCTCTTTAGGAATCTGGAGAGCTCCTTGACAGCAGATTTTCAGTGCAGCTCAGCTTTTGATTTCCTGACTGTGGTTCCAATAGTATTGACTGTAGATCTAACTATATGAAATTCTTTACAACCTGTCTTTTTCGTCATCTATCATTGGCCCAGTGGTAAGAATCTTTGTTTTCTTGATGTTGAGTTGCAATCTATATTGAAGGCTGCAGTCCTTGACCTTCTGCAGCAAATGCAAATACTCCTCAGTTTCAGAAGCAAGGCTGTGTCTTCTGCATAATGCAAATTGCTGATGGATCTTCCTCAGATGCTGATGTCACATTCCTCTTCATAAAGCCCAGCCTCCTGAATAATCTGTTCAATCTGTTCAGCACATAGATTAAGAAGGTAGGGGGAAGGATAGATCTGTGACACACTACTTCTTGATTTTGAACCAGATTCATCCTTGGTTAAACCAAGCTGCTCCTTGGAGGCAAAGATTCTGAGGCTTCGTCTAACATACTTTGGACATGTTTTAAGGAGGGACAGGCCCTTGGATAGGGACATCATGCTTGGTAGGGTGGAGGGACAGCACAGGAGGGGAAGGCCCTCTATGAGGTGGACTGCTTCAGTGACTGGGGTAATCAGGATGGGTGTGTCAGAGGCAGTGTGATTGGCACAGGATAGAGCAGGGTTTAGGGCTGTTGTGTATAGGGTTGCTATGAGTCGCAAGCGATTCGACGGTACATAACAACAACAACAACAGTGTTCCCTTGCTCTGTTTGGATCCATAGAAGCCCATTACTTATGATGAATAAAATGTTATTGTGCATTACTTTGATTCTAACTGGGGGAGATTGGTTGAACTTTCTTCTGTCCACCTCTAACCTCCCCACACCTCCATCTCCTGCAGCTCCTAAAGCAGTTCTTCCCTTCTCCATGGAACGCTTGACTACGATTGCCTTGTTTTTAGCTGTCATTGAGTCACCTTGAAATCATGGTAACTTATGAACAATGGGATCCGACTTTGTAATCCATAGGATTTTCACCAACTGAATTTTGGAAGTAACCAAGCAAATTGTCGACTACGTATTCAGAATCTAGAGTCTTAGAGTTCAAAGGGATATTAGCACACACACATACTGGTCAACCTCACATTCTCCCTGCAGTGCGGAAATACATATTATAAAATTCCTTGGCAGGAAGGCAAGGAGGAGCTCAGCCTCTATTTAACACCTGGATGCAGATGGATTATTTAATTCTTCTTTGTCTCACATAGCTCTCTGTGTCCTAATCCGTCTCTCTAACTAGTCTGAGGAGCAAAGACTGCATTTTACAAACCCTCTCCTCCCACACAAAGCAAGACCATCAATAAATTCTTAACTGAACTGACTGACTGACTGCAGGAATTTAAGGTCACTGGAAATATAAGGGTCGCTGCATCGCAAAACTCCAAAGAACATCAGTCAAATTGTGTAAGTAGCTGTCCTGTGAAGTTTGTAAGATTTAACTTGAGCTCTGTCAGAGGAAAGCATTTTTTTATTGGGACAGATTCCTTTATCCTCTGACAAGAAGCAATGGCAAGAGTTAACTTCTGCAACTTTTTAGAATATGTGTTCACCATGGAGTGTGTGTGTGAAAGAGAGAGAGAGAGAGAGAGAGATATTTTATAGAAATGCTCTCTCAGGAAGCCCTTTTCAAACACTTTGGGCATCACACTTGTCCTCAAGAGGCTCTTGTGTTTAATTCCATTCAATTTCCCATGAAAAAAAATTGTTCCAGTTTTAATAAATCCCTAGACCTCCTGTCTTTGTAAAGCATGCCAATGCATGACCTATAAAGATCAAGGACATATACCGAAGTCACCAGGTGAGCAAAAGAACTCCGTGTGATTTCTATCTTTGTGAAATTGAGAAAAGACAGAGGAGAAAGAAGAGGGCAGAGAGGTTCTCATAAGAAAAGTCTGTTTGCTCTTGTGTTATTCAGTCTGACAGATGTTTGTTTTTGCTTCTGTCTATCCAGGAAACCAAGTGCTGCCTCCTGGAGTTTCTCTTGGAAATGGGCTCACACCTGAAGCAGCAAAAGACCTGGGACTCCCTGCTGGGATCGCAGTAGCATCCTCACTCATTGATGCACACGCAGGAGGGCTAGGTAATCCCACACCCTGTGGTCATAATCGGCCCTGATCGAAGGGAAAGCGCCCTAGAACTTTAGACATGTCTTTTTTTATAAAGCAAAAGACAGAGCTTTATTCGTTAAAACCTTCTTTTTTAAAAGAAAAACCCCAACAGACTACAAATTTTTTAATGGTTGACATTGAAATTGAATTATAAAACCTTTCCTCATCAATGAAATGTATATATAATTTAAAAAGCTCAGGGAGCTCTGGTAGCTTATTGGTAAGAAGTTGTTCTGCGAACCCAAAAGGAATACAGTTCAAATCCAACAGCTACTCTTTAGAAAAAAGTGAGCAGTCTCCTCTTGTGTGATTTACTGTCTCTGACAACCTTCTGGAGGGTCTCCTACGGGACAGTTCTCACTCACAGTACAAAACAACAATAACAGCATCAATTCAGAATAATGGGCAAAACATCTGAACACATGTCTGAATGACTTTTGTGTTTACTGGAAACCGTAAAAGAGAAATTAATGTCTAATCAGCAAGTATATCCATAATATACTTACATACACTGGTTTTCCTCAAAGACACTCCAAAGGCCATAGAAATATAGTGTATTTGTTTTCTTAATGCATTTGTTTGTATTCTATGTGCAATTAGTCTTAATTTCAAGGATCTCTGTTAGTTCAGTATTTAATTGTTCAGCTGCTAACTGAAAAGTCAGTTATTCAAACTCACTGGCCATACTACTAACAGGGGGGAGTGGAGGTATGAAAGTCTTACACCCATGAAGTTTACAGTCTTGGAACCCTTTGGTGCAGCACTGCTCTGTCCTATAAGGGCATTGTGAGTTTTAATCACAAAGGTGGGATTTTGGAGATTGATTTTTGGGGGGGGTTGCGTCTTTATTCCTTCTCTGCATTAAAACTCTGACTCATTCTTCTATTTATTAACTGCTAATTGTGCTGGGAGGGAGCTCTTGTGATGTAGACTACAGGAGATTTTGAGTCTCTCCCAACAGCTGTTCCTCTTTAGCGGTTCAAATCCACCAGCAACTCTACGGGGGCAACATGGTCAATATCCTGCAGGGTGATTTAAAGGTTTGGAAAGTCATTGGAGGGTCAGATTCAACTCAATAACTTTATGAAATTTAGAATGGTGCGTAGTGCTGAGATTAGGTGGAATCATAACCAAACAAAGCAAAATAAAAAAGAGCTGCTTGTACTAAAAAGTTAATGGAACACAGACAATAAAACAACAATTTACCAAAGACTGCTAGGTCTCTTCTTTATCCTTATCAAATATATATATTCCTCTGATTTCTATTAACTTTCATTTAAAACACATTTATTTTTGATAGTCTGTTTTTTCTTAACTTATTATGGATTCTGAAGCTTCACTTGACATATTTGGACATGTTGTAAAGTGTGATCAGTCACTGGAGAGGTATGCCATGCTTGGGAGGGTGGAGGAACAGCACAGAAGAGGAAGACCCTTGATGAGATGGATTGATTCAGTGACTGGGATAATGGCAGTAAGTGTGTTGGAAACAATAAGATTGGCACAGGATAGGTCAGGGTTTAGGGCCGTTGGACATAGTCACTATGAGTCGCAGGTGACTCGACAGCACATAACAGACAACAACATTATGGTTCATAATCCATGAAGTCAAGTTAGTGCATCAGGACTATTGAACTTTGAAAGAGAATGAAATAGAAGAAACTAGAACAGAGTAGAAACACCAGAGTGTGTCTCACATAGGAAAGGGTTAATCCTGCTTATGGAACTTACATTTTCATTTTCTGTGGATATGTACATGCCTTCATTGTCTTGTGCTGTTTTAAAGAATTACCATGAGTGAGAGGCTTTTATAAAGAACAAAAATTTTTCTCACAGTTTAAGATCTGCTTCTTGTTGTTACTAGGTTACATCAAACATCCTGCACCATCTTCACAACTGTGGCAATGTTTAAGTCCATTGTTGTAGCACTGTGTCAATACACCTTGTTTAGAATCTTTGTGGGGTTTATAATTTTTTAATTTTACTTTCTACTTTACCAAGCTTGATGACCTTTTTCCAGGGACTGGTTCCACTAATAACCTGTCCAAAGTAGATGAAACAAAGTCTTACCATGTTGTCATCTAAGGAACATTCTGGCTGCACATCTGCCTTCACAGGTTTATTCATTCTTCTGCCAGCCCGTGATATATTTCATATTCATTACCAGCATCCTAATTCAAAGGCAGCAGTTGTTCCTTTGTCTTTCTATCTACTGTCCAACTTTCACATGCACATGAAACTATTGAAAATATAATAGCTTGGGACAGATTACCTTAGTCTCCAAAGTAACATCTTTGTTTTCCAGCACTTTAAATATTTTGAAGCCTATTTGCTTGACAATGTATCTCACTTGATTTCTTGACTGCTGCTTCCATACCTAGAGATTATTGATTCAAGTAAAAGTAAATCTTAAACAACTTCAATGTTGTTCAGTGTTGTCTTTCTTCGTTCTCTGGCATGTTGCTTACTAGTCCAGTTGTCCAGATTTTTATTTTCTTTGTGTTGAGGGTGTAGTTCCTTCTGAAGAGACTGTAGTCTCTTATGGTGAATGACTGGCTATCGGGGGAGGTTCCCTCTCTCTTTCTGCCATCCAGTACTGAATACCTTCCTTAGGTCCTGTAGTCATTCCTTGGTTCCTTAGTGATTTCCATGTGCTATTTATTCTTCTCTTCACCCACCCTCTCACCCTGCTGTGTTTTCTCATGTATCTATCTAGTCTTGTGTTTTTATATATCAAAAATTATTAACTTGAAACACATTCTACACTTAGAAGAACTCATTAGCATAGCAAAGAAAACTCTCTGCCCACATGGGATTATGTCCACAGGTATAGAAATGAAGATTTAAAAATATGTATTTGGGTGATGCAGTTCAATTTATAATAGCATCTTGCATTCATAAAAACATTTCATGTACCAGATAATGATAAAAATTAATTTCTTATTCTGAGTTACGGTCAAAATATTTTGAAAGTTATTCTAGTTAGTGCTACATATTATAGTCAAGAGTTGTCTTTCAAGTGCTTACAATGAGTCATGCTTCCAGAATATTTAGCCATCTTTGCCAATCTCTAAACGTTTATTTACTTGCCTAAGATCCTGGGTCCACCAATTCTCCAGCTGACTGATTCCTGCTTTAATGTGAAGACCTATCTGAGATGCCATGGCCTTCCTTCCAAGAATCTTCTAGACTAATTTAGGCATAGCTGATCCTCCAGTGGATTTTCAGAAGCAGTTTTATTGCATGGGATTAAATTGTCCATCCTTCTCCCACAGAGAAACTGTTGGATTTGAACTGTGAGCTTTTGGGATTGCAGTGCAGCTCCTTACCACAAGACCAGAAGAACTCCTTTGTAAAGACTACAGCCTAGGAAATGCCATGGGGTAGTTCTCTTCTCGGCCTACACTGTAGGATCCCTCTGAGTCAGAATTGATTCGGTAGCAACAGAGCTACTCAAGAGCAGGTCTTTTAAATTATTCATCTGTGCCCCCTGTGCTTAAGCCTGTATCTAGTACCTATATTTATATTTGTAAATGAATTCAACGAATCCGTTATTCTAAGGAAAGGATAAGGTAGAATGGCCTTATACTCTTGTGATTCTTGTTAGGTACCATTAAGTTGGCTGCAACTCATAGCAACCCAGTGGACATCAGGTCTGAACCTTCCCCTATCTCGTCCCATCCTCGTGACTCAAGCCAACTGTTACAATGAAGGTTCATTTATTTATTTAATTTTTTTTTGGTTTTGCAGATTGCTAGGTATAATGTCCTCTGCAGAGTCTGTAGATTTTAAGAAGGATAAACCTACTGTTGTCATTCAAGTCTAATGCATAGTTAACTGGCCTTCAGTTTTCTGAGGTTGTACATTTCTTTTGAAAGGAGACTCCCTGGGAGTGACTGGTAGGACCACTGACCTTTAGGTTAGTAACCCAACACAGAACACACTATACCACTGGAGAGCCTTTCAGAAGGAGCACTTCATTATTTCATGGGCCTATCTACACATAGCCTCTGTATGTCTTCAAGACCTTACACTATGCCTGAAAATTAGTAAACAGTTGCTAATACATGTAGGTTGATTGCCTGGTATGTAATTCTGATTTCAGGCAAGAACATTTCTTCCCAAACATTTTTATTTTTTTTTAATATGAGCATGTGTGCCTTTGGAATGTCATTAGTTTGGTTTTTAAGTGCAAGCACAGCGAGATCTTGTGGTCTAGACATACTTAGCATGTTCTTGTATCCTAGCAATCCTGACATCCACTATCCTGTTTGAGGCCATGGAAGCTTTCTGTCATACCTTTTCTGTTATCCTTGGGGTGACAGTTTCAATCATCCACCCCAGCTGAGTGACAGACTCTTGGCTCAAACCACCACATGTTGCACCTTCGGGAGCCTCAGGCACTCTGGCCTCTTTCCAGACCTCTCCACGGACGTGCCCAAGCACACCCCTCCACCCTGGCCCAGGACATGCTGTGCCCTCCACATTGGACAGAGTCAGCTTCCTGTGTGGCACTCAGCACTGGTACACACTCAAGAGAGTGTTTGTTGTGTTGCATTAGGAACACTCTAGCCCATAAAATGACACTACCTACCCAAAGGCCCCTTTGCACCATCAGAGATATTCAGTGGCAGAAAATTAAGCCTTTGTACAAAAAAAAAGTTTAACTTGGGCTCTCTGTTCCCTGTTAAACTATATATGTCCCTAAGTTAGTGAGTTTCTCTTTCAGTGTTTTCCAAAAATAAGACAGAAGGAGCTTGGAGTCCTAAAAGTGCTGAACTTAACTACCGCACTGGCCGGAATGGCTCGGAAACAGAATTCTCAGAGATCATGGGACAGTGGAGCCCCTGGCTATGGCACACAGTTGACAGGTTCAGCTGCTGACTTACTGAAAGGTAGTAGGTTCACGTCTGTACAGAAGTACCTAGGAAGGAAGACCTCTGACAATCTACTTCCAAAAAAAAATCACCAT